TTTTTTTACTTTTCAGGCTATTTGTACTGAATCTAAACTGACAGACAATGTATGTACATGTATTCACCATCCAAACTGTTCCGTTATTGAGCCACAGGACAAAGTGGAGCACTGCATAGATTGCTGGGGTAGGAAACAGATGAACATTATTGGTTTTTCCACTGTAGACAAGAAAGCAGAGGTGGCTTTGGAAAAAAGTTAAACTCATTACACACAGAGTAATTGAACACATTTGAACTAATTGCAGGGTTGTTGAGAGGACTGCTGCCATTTTCTCTTGTGCTGACATTCACTTAAAAAAGATTGTGGACTTTTTTCTTTTATGCGAGAGTGCAGATAGATGCTAAACTATAGCTTATTAGGTAACATGAAAACTAAATATAGGTTACACAGCACTCTTTTGCTGTGTAACCTATACCAGGCAGAAAATACCTTTGGGATTGTTGCTGCTGTTGGACCTGGCCTATAGGACGCTGTTAAAAAAGTTTGAAGTATCCACTTGGTTCCACTGAGCACCATAACGAGATGTTCTGCAGATCTGTGATTTTGTGCTCCTTCTTCTTTACAGCCTGTTGCTGTAGTACACAAGCCACAGATTCTATCTAAAACAGCGGTCCCCAGCCTTTTTCCCCCATAGACAGGTTTATGTCCGACAATATTTTCATGGACCGGCCTTTGAGGTGTTACGGATAAATACAACAAAATAAAACCACCACCAGTACCAAAAAAAAAGAAGATTTATTCATAACACACGGGAAAAGACCCAGGGTAACCGATTTAACGATAAAAACGATTTAAAAAAATAACGCTAAAAACCGATAAAAACCATGAATTTAACACCCGAGTCTCAAATCTCATGGCCCGTTACCAAACGACTCATGGACCAGTACCGGTCTGTGGCCGGGTTGGGGACCACTGATGTAAGAGTCACATATTACCACCCTGATGTCACTCATTGAATTTTGGACTCCCACATAAAAAGCCTTAAGTTTGTTATCCTGGCTGTTGCCATCTGTCCATTGTCTCTAAAATATCTTATCCATCGTTTACTGACTCCATCATTTATTCCAACTTCTTTGCACCATTGCAAAGATGTCCGGAGCCCAATTCCATACGTG